TCCATAATTGTAAGATCAGCAAATCCATTTTTGACGAAATTATAAATTGAAATCTTCTGTCTTGCTGAAAGTACACTGACAGTATAAAATTTAAGCGTAATTGGACTTACATCACTCCAATAACGACAATGCTGGAAAGAAACAATTTCATTTGTTGAAAAGCTATTAGAGAAGCAGCGTCTTCCTCATTTAGTCTCTTTGTCTGCGTCTTTATGGATAATACAGAACCCGTTTCCAAAAATTTTTTCATAAGTTTGCGAGCCCCAACATGAGATTTTCTTGTGTCCGGATATTTTAGCTGGAATTTTTGTATAACTACATGAAAACATGATGCACCAGTACCATAGCACTGTACTAAATAAATTCTCTCTTTCGCGGTTAACATCGCATGAAAAGACTTAATCTCACTAACATAAGTTGTAACTTTTATGGTTTCTATGGTTACATATCATAAAATGAACTTGAAAATTTTTCAATTTAGAAAAAAGTCCAATTTTTACATAAAAATGGGAATAATTAGTTAACTTTTATAGTTAGAGTATAAAATTCATGCCTAAATCGCATGAATAATAATAATGAATAGTATGCATTATTTATGTTGAGATAAGTTTGAAAAATCAGTAACAAAAATTTTTTTCCTCTTTGTAACTCGATCCGGGGACATACTGTATAATGAGATAATTGTTATTGCTATAAAACTGATCAATTTATTAAAAAAACACTTCTGGATTTCTCTATAAATAATAGAAACGACATTCAATGTTTTTAATTTAAATTAATTCTAACAATCTAACAATGATTTCTATTACAATTAAATTTTTTATAAACGTGCGTGATGTGTTTTTTTATATTCGTCTTGTTACTTATCTTGTTATATGTCACACTCTTGTTTTACTATATTTAACAAAGCACGCAAAATAGTTTCTTTACATCACCTCCCATCGGGAAGAAAATATCCACAAAACATTAGGTGGAAATAATTATAACAGAGGAACTAAATAAAAGAGTAAATAAGTATGCACCAGTAAATTCAAGAATTCTGGAATTGACCTAAACAGAAAAGTGAATATAATTCAAATCTAAGCACCAATGGAAGGAACAAAAGAAGAAGAAATACGAGATTTTTACTCAACTCTGCAGAAATCTTTCGATAAATCCAGAGAACAAGGAGAGGAAGTAATTATAATGGGAGACTGCAATGCGAGAATAGGTAATGATATACACAAGGAGAGGTAGTATAGGAAAATATGAGGATCAGGGAGAGGCAGTAATGAATAGAAATAGACAAAGAATGTTGAAATTATGTCAAATATACGACTTATTGATTGGAAACACTATGTGGAGTCAGAGGAGGCAAGATAAATATACGTTTGTGGCGGAAGAAAGGAATGCTTAAAGTATTATTGATGACATCACATACACCCGGAATCTCCAAAACACAGTCGAGGAGGTAAAGACTGAAGCAGAAGCAGAAATGGGAACTAATATAGAAATCTAAAGAGAAGAGATGAAAACTTACACGAAAATAAACATCCATAAACTGAGGCAGGAGGAAGAAAGACTAAAATACCAAGAAAAAACAAACAACGAATTTCAAAAACTAGAACAAACAGAGAATTTAACACTGGATCAAAGGTGGAGTATTTTTAAAGAGATAATGCGAAATAAAGTTGTGTGAAATGAGAAAATATAATTATCAAACAAAGGTGGTGGAATGAAGAGGTCCAACAGGCAACCAAGAAGAAGAAAGAGTCCTGGAAGAAATACATAAGAACAAATTCGAAAGAGGATAGAACAAACTATAGAACGAACAGAGATGTAGCTAAGAATATGGCAAGGGAGGCGAAAAAGGAAAGTTGAGAAGAGTTCGGAATAAACTTACGTGAAACATACGGATCGAATAACACTAAATTCTGGAATGAGATAATAAAACTGAAGGGAGATCAAAGGAAACAAATAAAAGCCGTAATGATAAAAACAACGAGGTAAAGACAACTACAAGGGAAATTCTGGTCATATGGGCTGATTTTTATGCAGAAAAGTTCAAGGATGGAAAAGAGACAGAAACAATGGAGGAAGGCAGAGAAGATGAGATAAGGGAAGACACTACAGACGTAGAAACTGAAGAGATAACAATGGAAGAATTTGGAGAGGCGGTGATGAAGATGAGAACAGACAAGGGTTGCGACAAAAACAAGAGTAGTATAGAAACGCCGATTCTAGACAGGAAGTTGCACCTCTGCACCTCCGTGACGTCATTCGCCCAATGTAAAAGTATAGGGAAGGGTACCAACCTAAGGCTGAGGCGAAAAAACAAATAGGTTGATATTGGAAGAGTAACTAGATCTGGAGACTTAAAAAAAAAAGTCAAAAAACCAACCAGGTAGACTGCAAGGTCCGTAAAGCGTATTGTACAATGCGGTACAATGCGCTTTACGGACCTTGGTAGACTGTTACTTTTTTTTTAAAAGTCACGTGATCTAGTTACTTTTCCAATACCAACCTATTTTTTTTCCTCAAGCCTGTGGTTAACACCCCTCCCTATACTTTTACTTGAGCGGATGACGTCACGGAGGTGCGAAGGTGCAACTTCCTGTCTAGAATTGGCGTTTCTATACTACTGACAAGATCGATCCGAGGATGATAAAATATTTGGGAATAAAAGGGAAGGGGTGACTTCTAAGTATATATAAGAGCATGCAGTCGGAAACAATCCCGAAAGATTGCAAAGATAAAATCATTTTACCAATATATAAAAAAGGCAGCTACTCAAACTGTGAAAATTACAGACCCATATGCCTATCATCTACAACTTACAAATTATACACAAAGATAATATAAAAAAGGTTAAGAAGAGTAGTGGAAAATAAACTAGAAGATGAACAAGCAGCATACAGAGGAAGCAAACAAACGAACGATAAAATACATGTGAACAGAAATATCATTGAAAGGAAAATAGAGACTGGCAATGAACTATATCTAATATTCTTGGACTTCAAAGCAGCTTTTGAAACAGTTAACCGTAGTATTATATGGAAGTGTGTAGAACAACTAATGGTACCACAAAAACTAACAAAAATAATTGAAAACCTGCACAAGAAAGTCAAGGGCATAGTATAAATGAAGGGAGAAACATCGAAAACTTTTGAAATTAGCACGGGAATAAAACAAGGCGATAGCCTAAGCCCCTTGTTATTTATAATATTAATGGAAAGAGTAATTAAAAATACAAGAACAAGAACAAATAAATATCAAACAATAATAGGTTAAGTATAAAAGTTTGGAACCAATAAAAATAGATAATTTATTATTATGCTGACGACATAGTACTGATAGAAGAGAACTATAAAAAGGAAGTTGGTTGAAGTATGGATAGAAGAAATTGAAAAGATGGGCCTAGAATTGAACGTAAATAATTGTAAAATTGTGATAATAAATAAAAAGGAAATAAGAAATAACCCGAAAGAAATATTTATTAAGGAACAAAATATAGAACATATGAGTACTTCGGCAGTGCAATATCACAAGATGGAAGGATAGATTTAGACATAAATGCAAGAATAAGGAAAACAAACAACGTATATCATACTCTAAACAGAAGAATTTTTGGGCGAAGGAGATAGATAAAAAGATAAAATTGTATATATAAAATATATAAAAATTTACGTAAAATAGTGGGGAAGACGAAGTGGGATAGGATAAGGAATGAGAAAATAAGACTGGGAGTAGATCAAGAGGAGATAACCAGCAAAATAGAGAGAAAGCAACTAAACTCGTATGCCCACATAATTAGAATGGAACATAACACAATAGTAAAAAAGGTATTTGAAGTATAAGGATAAGAAAAAGAAAAAAAGGGGACGACCTAGGAAGTAGTGGGAGGATAGAATAGCTGAAGTTGGGAAGAAGAGAGGGAACACTCTAGCAGATATAAAGGAATTAGCCAGAAACTAGAGGGAGTGGAAGAAGTGGATGGAGAAATAGGAAAAGATTTACCCGACGCCATCAGGCATAAGGAGTAGCAGAAGAAGAACCAGCTGTCCATTGTTTTTCTCACATCAAGTAAAAGTTTTTCCGTCTTTATAGCATATTCCAGCAAAGAACCTGCTTGGTATTTAATAACTTTATAGTAATAATAATAACTTTATTGTGTTTCTAAGAATGAACAATTCTCTTGCACTCGTCAGTCATTACAAAAATAAAAGGAAGAAAAGAAAAAACAAAACAATTAACATTACACACTTAACCTCTTTCCTACGCTTATCCGTATCTTAACAATGACAATTAAGTAACACATTCTACATTTAAAAAGTCCTATATTTGAATGATAGTGCATATCTATTAGCAGGCCAACCTTTGTTTACATATGTTTCACAGTAATTTTGTTTCCACTTCAGTCATTCCGATTGCAAAGTAAATTGAATCATCATAGACTTATGCCAATCTAAGCAAGATTTTTCAAGAAATAATGTGAATATTTTAATCTTTTCTTCATCTTGTTTTACATCAAATCTTTCGTATTCTTTTTTAAAAATTTCCATTCATTGATAAACATTTATATTTTTTCCATTATACTTCTGATTTGGTGCTTTTCTTTTTAATGTGTTCTTGATATTTGCAAACACTTTTATAGTACTAATTTCTTTATGTAGTATTCTAGCTCTTCAGGCACCAAGAAAGTTTTATTATCTTGAGTTTTGATTGAGGTTATGGCGATATAATTTGATTTTCCTTCCATTGTTGCTTTTATTTTAAATACAAATTTTAATTTTTCCATTTTTCCAAGATATCTCAAGAAATGTCGTTTTATAATGAGATAATTTTTATTGCAATAAAACTGATTCATTTTTTAAAAACCTACTTTTGGGTTTCTCTATAAATAAGAGAAATTACATTCAATGTTCTTAATTTAAATCAACATTTGCCATTCGTCTGTCTTTTTACTTATCTTGTTATATGTCACACTCTTATTTTACTATATTTTAACAAAGCACACAAAATAGTTTCTTTACATACATTTTATTCTGTCGTTTTAAACGCTATTTATGATCAAAAATGATTTAAAAAATAATAAAATATATATAAAAATAAGTAAAATGCTGTAGATTTTGTTGTGATTGCTTCTGACCGTTCATGAATTTTAGAATTATCGTCTTTAGCGATATTTCCGGGCGTTCTTAACTTTGCTTCATCCACAACGCAAATACACCATTCTTCATCCACACCGATAGATTTACAATTTCTTTTCATGGAAATCTCCTTAAACAAGCTCCTACAATGTTTGCAGCTTTTCGATTTTCGAGCATAATGATTCGTTCCGGATAAACTCAATATATCTTCGAGAGTACAAAATATGTCATAGGGTGAAACTAGTGTAAAGCGGTTCTTATCAAACTGATGTGCGAGATCTTTATGACTCATTTCGAAAATTTGAGGTAAATAAACGAAGTGAAACGGAGATTTACTTTCATAAGCGCCGTATTTTTGCTCGGTTATCGAATCTTTATCGTATCCGTGATCGCTAAAGAAAAAAACGATAGTTTTGTTCAAATTGGGGTAGATGTCTTGAAAAAATCTCTTTAATTTCTCGTCCATTCTTCTTGGAGCATTATAATCATCGTGGCTAAAACTGTTAAACCAAAATAAACCAAAATAAGGCCGATTACGAAATGCACCAGTTGCGTTTGATGCTAATTTTAAGATTCTTTCAGCGGAATTTTCAGGTCCCGTACAATGCGGCATGTTATCTAACTTTGTTGAATTTAATAAATCAGATGCGACGGATAATGCTCGAAAATAATAATCGGTCGGTTGACTCCAAAAGCCTTTATATTGTCGATTAAACGTGTTTGCGTTACTGAAATCTTCAGCGAAAATCGTGGCATAACCGTACTTTCTATAATCGTGCCATAAAAACTCGTAGGTATCAAAAAATGTTTTCAATGGAGTTCCAAAATGTTTCATAGCGTCTTTAATCGAATATCCCGATAAAATTGGAATAATATTTGTTAGAGCATCGTTGTCTAATTGCGTATAACCGTATAATTGTTTAAAATTAATCTTATTTAGATACTCGAAAGTTTTTGGTAACAATTTTGGAAAAGAATATTTTGAAACACTATCCAAAGCGATCATCAAAATGTTGTACGGTTGTTTAGCTAAGGGCCGGCCTCTGGTTATAATGTTATAACGAACGTAAGCACCGAAAACATTTTCATACACTATTCTAGGTGGTTTCTCAGCTATATAACATCTTACTCTAACGGTATCTTTTATCATTTCCGATCTTGTAGTTGAATCAAAAGGAACTGGTTTTGATTCCCTATAAAAAAAATTAAAAATAAATACTGCTTTGTAATTGAGGTTTTCGCAAAAATATAAATGTTACTAATAAATTTTTTACCGCATTGTTTGATCTGGTAATTGAGTATTAATTCCTCTACTAATATTACTGATCACACAACTAATTTTATCCATTGAATCAGCGTAAAATTGCACTGCGGAAGTGTCGACAGCAAGGAAATAAAATTCATCGTCTTTTTCTAGTTTAACCAAAGGTGGAATTGTTTCACAAGGAATGTAAGCTTTCGGTTCGTAAAACATTTTCATTTCCCATTGATTTAGATCGGGAATTTTACAAAACGTGTTATTAATATAACGAATCGGTGCTAAAATATCGACAAAGTTATCAAAGTGAAAATTATTCAAATCAAACATAACCCTTTTTACCATCACTTTGTTTTTGACCTCTTGAACCACAAGATTGCAATAAGATGAGTCCGAAAATAGGTATTATGGAGAGAATATTCATGTTTCTCAATAATCAAGAATTATATAAAAATATGTTCCATTCTTTGAAATAAAAACGTCAAATATAAAATCAAAAATGTTTTTGACAATTTAAATTTAAAAAACAATAGTTTCAAGATAATTATAACCAATGATTGCTTTTTTTTTCTACAGATGGTAAAAATATTTTTGATATTTCAATATGAATTTATTTTAATGCAGGTTATGTGGAATAGACCATTTTTGCACCCTGGACTTTTTTGATGATGCTTCTTCTCCACGGCAGAGATGGTTACCAACCCCGTTGGTGATGAGGAATGCATGGATTAGGTAGCTCAAGAATCATCACTGCCACTTCCAAGCCTGGATAAAGGTGGAGGGTTGAACTATGGGTTAATAAACTATTTCCGTAAAGCTTAATTGTTTCAAAACCGACAACAAAGTCTCGGATTGGACAATCTTCGATCTTATCGACGACGACTACGGCTAACGAAAATGGATCATAAGATTGAAACATGGAACGTGAGGACGCTGGACAAGCCAGTAATAAGCAATCACAGCCATACAAGAAACCAGATGGCTGGGCGTTAAGGATACAAAACGACAGGCAGAAAGGAATTGGAAGTAACCTTTATAATGGATAACAAAATAAAATCGAACATACTGGATTTTCAACCCATCAACGAATGATTGTGCAAAGTAACTAACCTACGTACAAAGTTTTGCAACGTAACCAATTATAAATGTACATAGTCCTACAGAAAGCAGCACAAGGAGATAAAAGAGTTATTTTATCAATAAATAGTACAAGTGTACGATACGATCGCCAACCCAACCCAACTTAACCGAATTCAACCCAACCCAACAAATTGTTTTTTGAATAAGAAGAAATGATATTTACTACTACAGGGAGTATAAGGTATGAGCAGAAAAAAATTTAGGGGTTCTTATAAAAAAATTGTTGTAACACAACCTCATTCTTTGTCCTTCTTAAGATATGATACTATAAAGTTAAGGTATGTTTGGGATTCATGTTGCAAGTTTTAAATTTAAAATTTAAACTATATAAAACTTCTTACTTGCTTAATATCAATTTATTCGGAACCGGTTTCGAGCTTAGCCCATCATCAGCCGAATCTACGTAAAAGTAATTACATTACGATCAATTAAATATAATGAGAAACATAATAAAAGTATTACAATCATAAACTTACTGTCAAATAGTTAAAAAGAAACCCACGACGTCATTAAAACAAAAATTATGAAAAGAATACATATTGAAATATATCAATCAATAATGATGTATGTTATTGTGAACAATTAAAGTTAAAAACACAGTGTATAAATAAAATTGTATAGATAAAAT